TCTATGGTCTCGCGCGGTTTGATGGTGATCGTCGTGGCTTTGGCTCGTAACCCTTCGTGTTCTTCGGGTGTGTCGTCATCCTCGTAGTGTGTCTTGATGTTGGCAAGCATGTCGGCTGGCGACAGCTGGAGGACGTCATATCCTATGATGCATAAAGTTTCCCGTCAGATCGTCGAGCCGATGATGCAGCCGACCTTGGCGATCTCCCTGGCGTGTTTCTGTGTCTGTTCAGGATCAGCGCTGGAGCTAGGCGGAGCGCCCTGGACGGTGAGTTCGTTCAGACCGAGTTCCTGGATGTAGTTCATAACAGCGAATTGCCAGATGTCATAGTTGTTTTTCGTGAGGGTAGGGATGGAAATAGTGTATGGGGACGTCATGTCTGGTGTGCGGTCGGCAGTTTGCGGCGCGTTGTGTGTGTTGATGTTGTCGAGGGGTTCCTGCGCGGTGGCGTTGACGTATAGATTGTTGATGTGCTGTCGTCGGTTGAGTCGTCTCGAGCGCAGGGCGCGCGGGGTAGCGTGGTTCAGAGTGGAGGTCGTCACGGGGAGCGAGGCCACTCGAAGATAGGGTCCATAACGTAAGGTGCGAGGAGGTAGGGGAACGCTAACTCCGGGCGCCGCCGTCGGAGGCCCGGGTCACACTTTAATATAAGTGTGATTTAGGGCTAATCTGTGGTGCCCTTACAATTTCCGTACTGGGGCGGCATGTTCCGAAGAGATTCCGAACATGCGCTGTTGTGAGAATTTTACGGCTTTGTTTTAATGCAAGCATGATAGCGGCGCAGGTACTGGGAGATTTCATATACATAACAATGAGACATGTTTGTTTTACCAAGTAATTGCATTTGACGAAACTTCAAATTTAAGACAAGCTTTTGAATGAAAAGGCGGGAAGAACTCATTTGAACTCAAACGATCATAGTTTGCACCACCTGATCTCTTAATCTTCCGAATTACAGTATTTAGTACTGTGTTACTGAGGTAGTTCCTCAGGGCAACTCACCTCTTCTGACTCGTAGTTAGTCATCGTCCCTGTTCCATTAAGAAAGGAAGACACGGACAAGCCTCAAACCCTTCACCAACGTTTGCAGACGGACCGTAAGCAACGCTATTCCGATGCAGGCGAGTATCTGCGCTTGGCCAGCGAAGTCATGGGACCTCATCATACGTGATGACAGTCGGCATCTGTGGCTCGAGAAGCAACTTTACATCAAACACGGTTTTGATACAGAGGAGCAATTGAAAGACTCGATTTAGAAGGTTTGAAGGGCAGTTAGCGGAGGCCCGTTGCAGAAGATTTACTGTGGCGTAGGTCTGTGTATGCTGCTAGCGCTTATTGAAAAGAGACGAGCGACGAAGTACGGGAAGGAAGTGGTTTTAGTTCCTGTTTTCTATGAAAATCCATCATAAATAAATAAGTTTTTCGCTTATTTATTTTTATGAAGGATTTTCATAGATAGCGGCCCATGTGTTCAACAAAGCACCAATGAGAGTGAATATTTGATCATTTCTTTCACGTCCCGTCTTTTAGAAAGACAGGACGTGCTCGCTTTTATAAGCTCGGTCTGTATCATGCGAAAACGTGGGAGACCGGGGAGTACTCATTTATTTTGCATACTGTAGATGTAAGTGAAAAACTGAGATATAAGGTCGTAGTCTCTCAAGAGGTATATCATATTTGAAACATCTAAGCTTCTGGATTCATACTATAATTAGTCTTCATGTATTCGAGTTCAACGTGACTGATATTTCATTTTGTCTTGGACGTGTTTGAGCGCGCAATAAGTAATTTCATGATTATTAATAGTGCACTTGGATTCGCATATATTACTTTTAACATTTTTCGCAATAAGTGATGATTTAAAAGGAGCTATAACATGACATGGCGCTTTTCCAATTGCGTAACCGGGAAAAAGGTGAAAAAGGTATCCTTCCATATAAAATTGACAAAAAGTAGCTTATGGAGTAGATGTTATTAAATTTAGAAGAGCCGTTTGCAGGATCCAGTGATTCTTTCAAGTGAATGTTAACAAAATAACCATAGAAGCATTTTCAAGTACCTCAGGGCTTGAGTGTGTTTTCGTGTATAAAAAAAGGAGAAAAACATGCGAAATATGCATATTCTAGTAGACATTCGTCTGTCATACTCGTATCCCTTACGTCCATGGGTCTCTCTTGAGGGTCGCTTCTCAGTGCCTCATGGGAAGCTATTGTATATATGTTTATTAATTTTCAGCCATTGATTTGTGGGCGGGTACGAATTTCATAGAAAGATCCCCATGCGGACCCGCATCGGGTTCGAATATTGAGAAATCTTCTTCTTCAGACGGGCCGCTCTCGAATTGCATATATGTCCGGGTAGATATTTAGAAACGCCTCCACATCCTCGTTCTCATTTCAAGAGTTTGGTTTTCCTCGAGATAGTGTCGGAAGACATGGTTGGGACAAACAAGTTGCAGTTAGAGAGGGCTGCCTACACTCCATGAAGGGAACGGGAGGTGGAGATAGCGTTGCACTTCTCTTCAGAATTATTGATTCTCTGAGCACACTGCAGTATTGACGCGGGAACCTCTTCCCCTCAGCCTAACTTGGTGTTGAGATTGAGAAAAACCTGGAGTGGATATGTGTTTTAGGATTGTGAGGGAGGAGAAGGTGGCAGGTCCAGCCAAAAATATGATTTTCGATACACGCTGAATCTAAACGCAAGATGAACTTGTTCAAATATGGAAGAGCACACTTTTATATGGTTATCAAAATGATATTAGGTAAGTATCAGATAAATTTATCCCAAAGGATAGAAGTCCTGACTAGAGCCAAAATTAGATGTTGATCACAGTTAGTGACAACATCAAATAGCTTGCGGAACCTCTGGATGCTTTGTACAAGGAATGTAGCGCATGAACGTCCACCGTTCAAAATCTGAGTCTTCACTAGTGGTTGCTCTGTGTCGAACAGAGGAACGACTCCAAACGTTACTGGAAAAAGCAGGGCTCGGTACGACATGAAGGCCTGGGTACAACGAAGCTTTCATACATGTTAATTTTCTATATTTTTTCATCCCCTACCATTTTAGTATCGCACAGATGAATCATCGAGAACCTTTTTTTTTTGACATCGTTGATGGAATCGTGTCATTACTGGTTTGCAGAAGGGAGTCTGTTTCTATTCACTATATTCTGTTCTGTCGACCAACGTGATAACTCGTGAGACAGACATAACGCCCTAGCCAAAAAAAATTACAATAGCAGAAAAAGAGAGACAAAAATCGGAAATATGCGAGAAGAGGGTTAAGAAGAAAACAGATAACACGCAACTGGAAGTTGTCATTTTAGCAAAGAGTGCAGACTCGGTAGCATTTTGCGAAGTATGAGGAAAAGCTACTGAGTGTGCTTGAGTCGACAAACTTGCCAGATTTGACATGAGTGAAGCCTTTGGGGAAGTTTGAACAACGGAGAGTTGAGATTTCTTGATTTGCGGAAATGGAGGGATGCGAATGAAGAGCGGAGTGCGAAGCGTAAAAAGAGGGGAAATAGGATAGCATGAAATGCATTAACTAGTGACGGGGCATATAATGGGATGAGACGCGGGAGGAAGCAACGCATTTGCTTGATGACGATGACCCCTCCCATGAGGGTGGAGCAAACCTCTGCCCATCCTACTGTTCCGCACTGTACGCGCAGTCTTGTGGGTTGGCCGGGGCAAGGGATGTCACGCGTGACAGCGGGGAGGTTTGTTTAAAGAAGAATGTCGTATATTTTCGTGCCCTGGGCTGCTTCGAGAGAGCGCCCTGTATGCCGGCAATCCAGCATTGACTGGGCTCTTGGCCATTCGGTACACGCTTGTTCTGTACAGGACATACCTGTACCCTCGATTGTGCGCCATGACCGATTCGATTTCCATACCTCTCTAACAACGTCGCAAAACCTGGAATACCTTATTCCATACCTCTTTTTACCCCCCTCCCCCCCCTCCCTCAGGCCCTACACCCCCCTCCCCCTCCCAACCCCGCCGCTCCCCGCACCTCTGTCGAGGAGAAAGTCTTCTTTGAGACAAGCCCGCAAAATTACAAAGGACACCCAACGACCCCCGCCACAAACGTACCGCTTTCATC